CGCCAACTGATTGCCGAACTGCATACGCCGTTTCATCACCATTACTGATTTTTCTCCGGAGTTCATATATTTTTATATCATGTACTACCCGTTCTACATATTTGTATTGCAGGATCATCGCCCAGTGATCGGATCACCTGGTGCTCGGACTTCTCCACCGATCAACTGGTCGGACCGCTTGGTTCATGGACTCCGTCGCCGACCAGTTGAACGGACTGTTCGCCGGTCACTTCTACTCAATGTTGACCAGTTGACCAGACTGTTCATCGCTCGTGCTTCATCGCTAGCTACGCCGGTTACTCCTCAGCGCTCGGATTCTTCGTGCTCGAGGACTAAGTGGGCACACTTCACCGCTCGGACATCGCCACTGACGCCGGGGACTCCTCGCTCCTCGGTGCTCGGACATCGTCAGCGACGCCGGGGACTCCTCGCTCTTCGGTGCTCACACATCGCCAGCGACGTCGTGGACTCCTCGCTCCTTGGTGTTCGGACATCGCCAGCGACGCCGGGGACTCCTCACAACTCAGTGCTCGGACATCGCCAGCGACGCCGGGGACTCCTCGCTCTTCGGTGCTCGGGAATCGCCAGCGACGCCGGGGACTCCTCGCTCCTCGATACTCGGACATCGCCAACGACGCCGGGGACTCCTCACTCTTCAGTGCTCGGAATCGCCAGCGACGCCGGGGACTCCTCGCTCATCGGTGCTCGGACATCGCCAACGACGTCGAGGACTCCTCGCTCTTCGGTGCTCGGACATCGCCAGCGACGCCGGGGACTCCTCGCTCTTCGATGCTCGGACATCGCCAGTGACACCGAGAACTCCTCACTCCTTGGTGCTCGGGAATCGCCAGCGACGCTGGGGACTCCTCGCTCCTCGGTACTCAGACATCGCCAGCGACGCCGGGGACTCCTCGCTCTTCGGTGCTCGGAATCGCCAGCGACGCCGGGGACTCCTCGGTGCTCGGACATCGCCAGCAACATCGAGGACTCCTCGCTCTTCGGTGCTCGGGCATCGCCAGCGACGCCGGGGACTCCTCGCTCCTCGGTGCTCGGACATCGCCGCCTACACGGGGCCGCGGGGGACTCCTCGCTCTTCGGTGCTCGAACATCACCAGCGACGCCGGGACTCCTCGCTCTTCGGTGCTCGGACATCGCCAACGACGCCAGGGACTCCTCGGCGCTCGGACATCGCCAGCTACGTCGGGGACTCCCTTGCTGGTCGGATCTTGCTATGTCTCGTCGGTGTGCTCTCAAGCTGCTCCATGCTGTTCGGATCAGGGTGCTGATTTTGGGCAGCACGTCTGGGGTCTTGATACGCGCATGTCAGACGACGTCGGCAAGCTTTTAGACTTCTTTTTCTTTGACCCTGCTACAAGATTTATTCTTCATCTTCCAGCAGGCTCGAGGACTAAGTGGGCACACTTCACCTTGCAGTGAATGTGCTTGTTCTCATCTCGAGGCTACGCCTGGGGACTGGCTGCCTGCTCGGCTAGTATTCTACTTTCTGACCCTGGCATCACGTGACTACGTCATCTACTGTCAGGCTCGGGGACTAGCTGTGGGGTTATGGCCCCCGGTATCCTCAATACAAGACATGGGCCGCACCATCAGAGGTGGCCCGACCCACAAGATCAAGGCATGCACGGCGTTGCTCGGCGTGCACCGCAAGCTATTGTATAGTACCAAATATGATACTTTACTTGTAACCCTACCCCTCCAGAGTATATAAGGAGAGGCAGGGGTCCCCTAACGGACACGATCTATCTACTACATCTCAATACAATACACCAAAGACACAGGACGTAGGGTATTTCGTCGATCAGACGGCCCAAACCTGTCTAAATCGCTGTCTCTGCGCCTTGTGTCACCATCTGGTTCTTGATTACGCGCACCTCCACCGACAAATCTACCATTGCGGGATATCCCTCGGTGGACTGCCGATGATATTCTATCGACAGCCGGTCACGAGAAGCTCGAAGTCCGGCGAGCCCCAGTCATGGCGGGCGGCGGCGGAAGTGGCCAATAGGCCCTCACCTAGGCTCGATCGACGCTGCGAGTGGGTGGAGATGGTGGCGCGAAGCAAGGCGGAACTACTGGCGTGCTGGCTCAGGCAATGGCGCGGCTGCGGTAGCTCACGAGCTCGACGAAGCTCCTCGGCATCGCTGCAGCTCGGTTTCTCCGCGGCGAGAGCGAACGCGAGCAGGGCGAGGCAATGCGGGCGAGAGAGAGGACACAGGCGCGACGCGGCGGTCATGCATCTTTCCTCCTCTCGGCGGCGACGTGGAGCTCACACCAACGTCTGACGGCCACTGTGGCCTAACTGCTTGCCGGGCAAGCCGCCCGCCGAACCGACCATCAGAGCTCCATGAGGCCCCTGCGCCACTCCCCAGCCGCCGCCAAGACGCACTGCCCTGCACGCCAGCCTGCGCCAGTCAGACAAAGACAGGAGCAGCCAAGGACGCGGCCATGGTGACGGGAGTTGCATAGGCGGCGGCCGCACGCGCACTTGCACAGCTTGGCTGTAGCGGAGGCGGCCTTGGCATCGGCGGTGAGCCGGCGAACGCGAACAGCTTGTGGAGACCGGACGTACAGGAAGACGCTAGCGAGCAGCGCGAGGAAGAATGCCTGCCGGCGAGTAGCGCGAGGAAGAACGCCCCAACATCGGCAGCGACGACAGTCTGAAGGTGTCCAACGGTGGGGCTGCTGCGCCTTCCATGGCGAAGCTCCAGCCTAGGACGTGGTCGTCGCGCGGCCGAAAGCAATGAAAGAGGCACCACGGCGGCGCGCGAGCGAGTGGCGAGCGGGGAGTGTCGGCGCCTGGCGAAAGGCGCCAAGCAGCAGCGAGAGGCACCATGGCGGCGGCAAGCGGCGAAGGGCGAGCAGAGACGCTGGGCCACATGGCGAAAGGCAATGAGCCATGGTGCGAGCAGCGGGAGCAGCAGCCATGGCTAGCACTGCCTGTGCTGGCCGCCGTGGTGGCAACGACATGTGGCGGGGAGGTTGGGGAAAGGCCTGACATGCGGGGCCCGCGAAGAGAGGGAGGGGATGATTGGTGGTCCCAACCTGGCGGTGAGAGGGAAAGGCCTGACAGGCAGGGGCGTGGCGGGTTTACTGTGCGGATATCACGGTCGAATGAGCGCGAGGGCCAATTTTAAACGGTTTTGAGAGTTAAGGGACTACGGGTGTCTGATTTTTGAGTTGGATGGCTAAAACTAAACTGCTGCCATAGTTGGAGGACAAGAACGGACTTTTTCAAAAAAAAATCTCTTCCTCCTCTTTCTTTTCTCTCGCTCTTGTTTCCTCCTGATTTGACGGAAAGAAGCTCGAAGGCGGCTACCTGCCTGGCCTGCGGCGCACGGCGTGGGGGGCGCGACGCGCGAGGCACAACAGTGCCCACTCACCAGCGAGGGTGCGGTGGCGGCTACCTGCTCGGCCTGCGCACGTGAGGTGGGGAGCGCAGTCGTGGCAGTTTCCCGGTACGGGCCGTGGCTTGGCCTGCACGCGCTGTGCGCTGGTGGTGGCTCGTCGGCTGGGGCATCGCTTGGCGGCGGTACGGTTGCCCGTCTGGCCTGCGTGCGCTGCGCAGCTACTGTCCACCCGGTCTGCGCGGCGGCAGCTGCCCGTTCAGCAGCGAGAGTGTGGTTCTAAGATGTCAGTGAGAAGATAAATCAAGAAAAGGGATTGAAAAAATTTTGTGGTTGTTCCCATTTATTTTAGGGAACAAAGGATTGATTTTCTCAATTAAGGAAAAAAAATAGGAAAAGAGGATTGGAAAGGAGATCTACAGGAGGTTTTGCTGTGTTTTTTTGACAATTTGATTTCGTGGACAGCCAAGAAACAAGCAACAGTCTCACGGTCTAGCACAGAGGCTGAGTATAAGGCGCTGGCCAATGCAACTGCAGAAATGATGTGGGTTCAGAAATTGTTGACTGAGCTCAAGGTTCATCATCCTCCCAATGCTCGGTTGTGGTGTGATAATCTAGGTGCAAAATATGTCTCTGCTAATCCGGTGTTTCATGCAAGAACAAAACATATAGAGATTGATTTTCATTTTGTCAGAGAGCAAGTTGCACGGAAATTGTTGGACATTCGATTCATCTCCTCCGGTGATCAGTTAGCTGATGGTTTTACTAAAGCTCTTCCTGCTGTCAAGATGAAACAATTTAGAAACAATCTTAACCTTGTAAGTGGCTAAGATTGAGGGGGAGTGTTAAGATAACTCGGCTGTACCAGGTTGTTGGGCTATTGCTCGTGACGTGTAGGGGAGTATCTAGCTTGTAGCTTAAGTCGGTTTAGGATATATCTTATCTCCTGAGTTTGTTGTAATCTCCACCTTGTTGTACAAGCCACACAGGGGCTGTTCCCTGCTCAATATAACACGCAACCGAGAGTCCAGAGAGGGCATCTCCTTCTAGTCATTTCCACACTGACCCACTCGTATCTGTTGGAAAAGAAAAGGTTTGCGGTTGGGCCGTAGAATAAGCCCAGGTTCAGGATTGCTCTGACACACAACATGCTTAAGAAAAGAACCCAACGAGCCAACAAACTGTTTTTTCGATCGATATATACAATTTTAGAAGGGCACAAGACGGGCACAATAATCTTCTATTGCAAAAGAAACAGTTCGTCAATCAAACACAGAAAAATTCAGTACAATCGATTCGATTCACGAAAACAGAGAAACCGTCACGCATGTCATTGTATAGTAAGTATAACATTGATTGCTATTACTGGTACATGGCAGAGACAATTCGACAATTTAGAATCCAGAACATGCAAGAGCTCGACAAGACGTACCAAAGATATATGGCCGCCATGGAAGCAGGCTAGGCCAGAATGCAGGATGAAGAAAGAAAATTAAGCAAAAGTACATCATGCATGCGTGAGAGCAGCAGCAGCAGCACAACAAGAAGAAGTCGACCACGGCGATGTCGTACGATGACCACCACGTGCCATCTCACGCTTCGCAGCTCGACGCAGGCAGCAGCAGGTGTAGGTATTTACTTGATGAACTCGATGGCCCAGGCGTTGGCGTAGATGTAGGTGGCCTTGAACCCGGAGAACCCAGCGCCCTTAGCGAGGTCGCGGAACTCCCGCTCGTACCGCTCCCTGCCGCCCGGGTTATGCGCGAGCATGATCATGTCGACGTGGAACACACCCTGCGCCTTCGGGACGGCCTCGGTGTTCACCGGCAGCACGCACTCGACGACGATCACCTTGCCGTTCTCCGGCAGCGCGTCGTAGCAGTTCTTGAGCAGCGTGGCGCAGTGCGCGTCGCTCCAGTCGTGGAGGATCCACTTCATGAGGATGGCGTCGCCGGTGGGAACCGACTTGAACATGTCCCCGCCGACGTGCTGCACGCTGGGGAACGGCGGCGCCTCGGAGATCACGTGGGGGAGGTCGAAGTTGACGCCCCTGATCTGAGGGTGGTGCGAGGTGATGGCGTGCAGGGTGGCGCCGATGCCGCCGCCCACGTCGACGAGCGTGGAGACGCCCTCGAAGCCCGTGTAGAACTCGAGGAGCTTCTTGGTGATGATGATCGAGTGGTTCTTCATGCCCTCGTTGAACACGCGGTTGAAGCGCGGGTCCGTGCCGTGGTACTCGAACGCCGTCATCCCGTACGCCTTGTTGAACGGGATGCCGCCGTCAAGCACCGCGTCCTTGAGGTAGTACCTGCATGGTTCATTTTGGAAAGAGATGTTACTACTTCAGGAGTTGTACTTCTGAATGAGCAAAGTGATGATGCAGAACAGGGCATATGCATGGTAACTGCTACTTTTGTGGATACAATACCACACAACACCATCCAAACTGTCTCAACTCTCAAGTCACTGTCCAGTGTGAACATTTTAAACTAGTCAAAAATTGCCTGAAAAAAGAACTGCTACAGATATATGTACATGTTTCTAAAAGGAACAGGGCAAGAATCTATCAGCATCAGCGACAGAGTAATGGTCAGTCGCCTGCCCTGTGGTTCAACCGCCTCTTTACTACGCCCTCCTCACACAAACCAAACACCAAACAATTTGGCTGGCTGTCTGAAGATTCACCTTCAGTTGGTGAATGACTGACTGACTGACTGAATGGAGTATCGCCAAAAATCCAGATCAGCATGCATGGATCATTTTCCAACCCCCGGTGTTGGATTGGGATAATTCAGAATTAATTCCATGATCCATGTGAGCCGTCAATCCGATCGTCCAGTTTTATGAATCCGGCCGGAAAAAGGAGCTGGCCAATAATGTTCCTTGTTCCTTCTTCAAGGTTCGCCAAAGTGTCACTCTCACCCACTGGATAGCGGAGGAGACTAGTGCTCCTTGCTTACTTTTCCATCTTACTCCTTTTTTTTATTCCAGGGAAAACTCGAACTTACTTTTCTTTTTTTTTTTAAAACAAATCTTTTTTTTTACTTTAGACAAATATTATATTATGGATAACTTTACTATGGCCAGCCTTGTACTAGCAGCTAGTAGTGCAACCTCAGTTAATTCTGCTGAACAAATTAAATGAGAAAATAAATACTAGTACTAATGATGAGCTCATCATTCATCATCATGCAGCACGCCAGCAGCAGCAGCAGCAGCAGCAGCAGCAACTGATCTACCGATGGTGAGGTGGGTGATGCGATGAGTGATGACTACTCACCAGCTCTCCATGAGGACCTTGTCCTGGTTCATGAGCGCGAGCGCGGCCATGGAGACGCCGTCCTCGTTGGGGGTGAGCCACTTGCCGACGGGGGCCGCGGAGTACCGGCGCTCGTACTTGCCGTCCTTGTCCTCCATCTGGCACTTGACGACGTCGTACGAGGCGAGGAGGCGGAGCATGCGGTCCACCATGTCCGCCGCGCCGGGGTTGGTAGGCGGCACGGGCAGCCGCGCCACCACCTCCTCGGGCGCCAGCGCCTTCCCCTCGGGCGCCTCCGCCTGCAGCACCTCCAGCAGGCCCAGCTCCAGCGCGTTCTTCAGCGTCATGGGCAGGATCGACGACGACGCCAGCTGCATCGCGTACATGCACGCCTCCTCGTCCGCCACCGCGGCCACGTCCTCGGCGGTCGAGCCCATGCCTGACGACGGCCGGCCGGTGGGATGACAAGGAGCGAGACGACCTTTTCTGGTGGGCTTGAGGAGCTGAGCGAGCTTGGGAAGTGCTGGTGCGTGCTGCTGCGAAGAGGAAGGAGGAGGGGGGAGGGGGGTTATATGGGGCCGGAGAGCTCACCAACCACCGCACCAAAACACGCAATTACCAACTGCTTTCCTTTTTTTTCACCTCAATTTCGAATTTTAATTTTGGGAAGGAAAATGTACTAGCATGAAAGATGCATGGCACTAAGAAAAAGCTACTAAAGTACTAATCTCCTATATATGCTATGCGTAATAATGCATGGACGACAGTGATTAAGATGATAAGTAGGGCCCATTTCTGTTGGTGTTTGTTGGTGATGATTAATCTATGCGTTAGGTGTGCGTGAGGGTCAAGTGCGTAGAGATTTGTTGATGTGCTCGCCCAACCACAGCGGAAGTGGTTGTGAGTTGTGACCTGTGATGCCGTCGCGTGTGCTGAGAAAATCCAGTTCACTAGCTACAAAGTCAGTGTATGCATCCTCCATCGACCATCCATGACAGTGATGCAGTACTTACATAGTACTGACTAACATACGGTGTTCTGGGCGTGTTTGATTTTCAAGGCTGGATAGCAGGATTATTATATCCGAGAAAAATTCGGGCTCGTTGTCAATTTTTCGCTTGGGTTTGCAACGTGTGAAGAATTTGATAGATTTAAAATGATGAGCTGGACTTTGGGCAGTGCCCGGTAGGAAGGGTGCAGTAAGTGGGCCCGCCAGTAGGTAGCCCGGAGGGCGGAGACCGCATGCATGGAACAGCTCTGCCAGGTCAGGTGATGCTTGTTTATTCCATCTTGCTCTAAGGCCACGTTTAGTTGGTCACCAACGGCTTATTTAGATGTATAAATTTTTGCAAAATGAGTATCTAGCGTTTTCGTTGTTATTTGAGATTTAAAATGATGAGCTGGACTTTGGGCAGTTTCCTAAAACTGGTAATTAGTTTTATTTTTTATTTATATTTAATGAAGGGATGCAGACGGGAAATGTGAAAAATTTTGCAAAATTTTTTTAAACTAAACTGGCCTAAGTTGGTAGGTAGCCCGGAGTCCAAACATTGACTAATTATGCCAATTATGCTCAAAATGTTCTGACAATGGGCGCATGCATGGAGTTTTTATTTCAACAACATTCTGCCAGGTCAGGTTTATGCTTGTTTTCTTTTTATATAGTGTCAAAGTTGGTATTTTAGATTAACTAAACAGGCCCCAATATGTAAAATCTACTGGCACTACTTAAATGGGACCCGTGAAGAATAAATTACTAGCACTCCGTACTCTTCTTCATCCTCCACATCTCCTCCCAATCTCTTTTCTCTCGTTGTTTCAAAAAAAAATCTCTTTTCTCTCTCCTCCCTCCTCATGGAACCAGGCGAAAAGGCAACAGGTGCCAAAGGTTGCCAAGCTAGCACCACCCCTCCAATGTATTGCACCTCGTTTTCTCTCTCCTCTCTCCATCTGGCACCAACCTTAGCAGACACATTGGAGCAGGTGTCGTGGGTTTTTAGAAGGATTATTATTATTATATTTAATTCGTACTCAATTACGCCTTGCTCATTTTATTAGTGGGCACAGCATGACCAAGGTTATTTGTCACGATCGGAATAACATGTATGATCTTTCTACCAAATAGGATCGAGTAATATAACTGATCAATCCAAAAATCATGGTTATATATGATTTTTTATAAAAAAAAAGGAATGTATACTTTATCTAGGAATTGAAATAGATTGTAAAAGCTCAAGTGTATAGTGTTGATTTTCGTTGATTTAATTTAATCTTGTAAACTTGAGTACACTTATGCGCGCCATTTTCAACTCAATTCAATTTTAAGTGATATTTCATTGTAACTCAATCATTTCGAATATCCCACGTGCTGCTTTTTACATTAATTAATCTATCAAATTATGTAAAAATTAAAAAGTTAGCATGTCACAATAATAAAAAAATACCGATTTCTCATATATATTACTCACATAAAAAATAACATCTACTCCCTCCTTCCATTCCAAAATATAAAACGTTTTGGCTTTTTTAAATACATAGTTTTTGCTACATACTTAGATATATGTTATGTCCAGATGTATAGTAAAACAAAGTATCTTCAAAAGGCAAAACGTCTTATAAGTTGTAACGGAGAGAGTACTAGAGTTCTTAACTTAATGCTGACAATGCTTGTTATTTGGATCAGGATCTACTCTATGTAGGATGCTTCTAATTGTGTGAGGCTGCATAGAATTCTCACCTAGGACCATAACCCTATGAAATTAGGATTCACGATGGGATTGACTCCGTGTTGTAGGATCATACATGATAGTATGATTTTAGGATTTGAATTTGGATACTGGAAACCTTAAGTTTGACCATATAAAAAATCATGGTTTGAATAAAAATTAGTTTACTAAAGTGTTGACTATGTGCCAAAAATTTATTCTCTTGGATTAAACTTTTTAAAAGTTTATGATTTTGTTGCTATTAAAAAATTATATTACAGAGAAAAATCACGTTTATATATCAAGTTTGAATGGTCAAGCTAAAACGTTGAATGGAAAGAGATGTTTTCTTAGGTCAAGCTAAAAAGTTGAATAGTCTAGCCAAATAAGGATATATTCGGATGCATAGAGCTAATTGTTAGCTAGCTATATTTAACTCTAGCCCATTCAAACAAGGGGCTAATAGGTGGACCAAATTTTTAGCCAAGCCTCCAACTAGTTGTTAGCCAACTAATTAACTCACCAACCCCCAGCAAATTTGGGCTAATTTTTAGCCACAACTAGTAAGTAGCTCAAACTGATCTAAGCATAGAATTACATAACTCATTTTGAGTGAGCCGTTGAATATGCATACTAATCCAACTCATACTTCAATATTTCTCTATTTTTTTAGGGAAAAACAAGTGGGTCTAGGGATATGTTTTGAGAAACTATGGGGGCTTCGCTTGGCCTCCTACCCTCGTTAGGGGATAGCACGGAGGAGAGAGCGAGGGGTCGGAAGGAAGGAGACACAACGGAGTGGCAACAAATTGGAGTAAACGACCATTAATTTGTCCATGGTGCTCCTAAAGTTGATCATCTCAAACGCGTCGAGCCTGTCAAACATCGTCTTGAGGTCGTCGATGGCGTAGTCCAGTAGCTCCCGGCAGTTGTCGAGCGCGCCCGGCAGCCGCACGAGGTCCAAGCGACTACATGAAGTCCCGGCGCCCGCGAGAGGTCCCAACACCCGTGCGAGTCACCAGCGGCGCTGCATGAGCGAGTGTCGCGGCACTCGTGCGAGGTATCGACGGCGGTGCGTGAGCGAGTGCCGCTGCGCCCACACGAGGTCCTACCGCGCGAGCTCCCAGTGGCGGCGGCGCGTGAGCAAGTGCGGCAGTGCCCGCGTGAGCTCCATCGCTAGCCTCGCGAGGTTCCAGTAGCGGCGGCACGCAAGCTCCCAATGGCAACCGCGCGAGCAAGTGCCGCAGCGGCCGCGTCATCTCCCACCAGCAGCGCACACGGGAACCCCGAACGCTATGGAAACCATGCGCTCCTCCCCCCAGCACAGTCTCGGATGGTTTCCAGCTGCTTTGTTGCGCGTGAAGACATGATTTCTATCTTAGAAATGGTTTCTAGTTTTTGACTATGTCTCTTCGTTAAATTATTTGCCACGTCAACAAAAGGTCTATAATGACAAGATAATTAATGAGGATATAAACCATACTGGTTTATGCGTTGAGAGTGCCCTCAGTGGGATAAAGCGTTCGTTATCAGAGTTTAGGTGGAGTAACTACAAGTTAGAAGTTAGAACCCTCGCTGTAAACAGTTTTTTCCTGAACTACTATTGGGGTTTTAATTGGTCGGTTTATGTGCTTTGTGCTTGAAATGATGATCGCCGTCCAGGTTCCTTTGTCTATGCTTTATTATTTATTATAAAATTTAATTATTTATGATTTTGCGGGAAACGCCGTGGCCTCGTCGAACTGGACCTGGAAATTGGAAAAAAAAATTAATTTTAACATTTTTTTTGTAAACTAATTTTAAATCTAACATTGTTTAATTTTTTTTTTCCAAATTTAACATTTTTAGCCACGTCTATTGCCATGGCGCGGTGAAATATCTGTGCCGCGTCATGCATGGTGGCACAGCGAGAGGGCTGATGTGCGACAACCAATACGCTGACCGATGATATAGTAGGATCTGTCATGCTACCGATCTTAATGGAACAGTGACGCGCCGTGGAGAATGGCACGGCGAGGCAAAGCTCAGTAGTCACGTCCCTTGCCAGAGCACTATAGCCACATCCCTCCACGCGGGGCTTTTTGCTTGCGAGACTCAGTAGTCACATCCCTTGTCAGAGCACTGTAGCCACATGGGTAGCTCCGTGCTACACCCTAGCAATCCTATGTTGCCTATAATTTTTTTCTCTTTCATCTGTTCCTAGGTCGATAGCTGTACTGGTTGAATTTTTTTTTGTCCTAATCTAGTTAATTTCCGTGTAACAAATTATCACATCGCATTGTATTATTTTAATAGGTATCATTAGTTTTTCCCTTTTTATTCCTAATTGTACTACTTTTCCTTTGTCGTTTTGACATCGCAGTACTTTTTTGCTAGCTAATAGATTTGGTTACCCACAGACAACAACTTTGGTCTCAGCTGCAAACATTTAAAAGTGTATGCTACAAGCATCACCCAACATAGTTTCACAGTTTAATACAACTTTATTCTCACTACATTAAATTTGCCAGCAACTCTTGTAGAAGTTCTTTGAAATGAAATAGTTCATCGCTTTGTTGCCATTGACATCTGCAGTACCTGTTCCATTTGCACTGGTACTTACTTTCATTCACTTCCTCCTGAATCTTCTTTTGTCAGTTTTTGTATTGTTTCACTGGGTTCTCGTCCACCTTTTTTTTCTTCGCTGTAAAAAAATTTGTAAGCTAACTCGATTTTAATAAATTGGCTTTCAC